GGAGGGGCTCTGGCGGGCTCCTGGGCATCCTCCGGGGCAGGTGCAGCCTCGGGCGGCAGTGAGCAAGGCAAGGCCGCCTCCCCGCCCCTCTGCCCCGCAGGCAGCGAGTGTTCGGAACCGGCCGAATCCGCACACAGCTCCGGGCGCCGCAGCCCTCCGGCCGGAAACTAAACACCGAGTGCCCTCGACTGCAGTGGGGTTGCTGGGTTTTCTCTATTAAGGCGACGACGGAGCCCACTCACCCAGCTTTCTTGGGGTGAGGGCGGGCTGTCAGGAGGAGCTACTCAATGACAGGATACACTGAACCCCCGCGAAGCGGCCGGTCCGCGAAGGAAACCTCTGGATGTTAGGCTGGCGGCCCCGAACGTCGCCTATGTCTCCCTCTCAGCAACTCTCCCCCTTCCGGTCTGCCAAGAAATGTTTTTTTCTGAGTCGAGTCTTTTAGAAATCTCCGTCCTCCGGTCACCAGCAGGTCCCTTGCTCTGTCTGGCCAGCACGCTGCGCTCAGAGGTGGGCTCCCCGTGGACGCACGGTCTTGGCCGACCTTTCGTAGCGAGCTCCTGGTTCTGCCTTTGGCCTTGCCCTAGCCATCCAAGCCTCCCCTCGGGCCGGACGGCGTTACCCGATGAACCGTGGCCCGGGGTTTGCGGCGACCGGGGGGCTGCTGGCTGGCGTAAGGGGTAGGCTGGGACGAGGATAGCGCACCCGGCAGGGCGCACGGCACAGGGTGCGCTGAGCTGGGCGCTCGGAGCCTTCAACACCATGGACAGGTCGCACGATTTCGGCGCGCGGCCCGCCAGGCAGCCAGTCCCCGGGGCGTCATGCCGCCTGCCTCTGCGCCGTTTTCTTCTCGGAGTGTCCGCCCGGCCTCCTCCAGGCCCGCCTCTCCCGCGCCGCCGCCGCCTCACTTCATCTGGCCCCCGTGGAGCCCGGGAACGTGCCGCCCAGGTGCAAAGAAAATACTGCAGCCACCGAACACAGAGGCCCAGCCCTTCAAAACAACCCGCCCCTTCCCTGCCACCTGAGCCCGGCGCTCTCGCACCGTTGTCTGCTTTGCCCAACTACGGTCAGCTGCTCTCAGATTGCACCATTTTTTACGCAGCCCACCCAGGGCCGGCTCACTCGGCAGCGTGCGGAGAGTAGAGTCCTGGCCTCCGCGTCCCACGATCAGGCTCCCTGCGCGCAGTGGTCGCCGAGGTGGATGGGGAGAGGGTGGGGGAGGG